CCCGTCTGACTGGTATTATTTATTTATTTATTTATTTATCTATTATTTAAGCATGTTTTATTATAATTGTAACAAACATTTACTGCAACCAGTTGTTCTACGTACAAAAATAGATGGCGCCACCTGTATTTTAAAACGCGATGTGGTATTGCACGCGCCTTATGTTAAGTCATTTCATGTACCGTGAGCCGTCGGTAATACGGCGGTTCAATATCAAAATCCTATCGCGGTGCTCTTCGGTGAGTGTCGAGATGGGCCGACAATTTTACTTTGAACAAATTAGAGTGCTCAAAGCGGGCTCAAAAGTGTGCTTGAATATTTCGTGCATGGAATAATAGAATATGATCTCGGTTCTATTTTGTTGGTTTTCAGAACTCCGAGGTAATGATTAATAGGGATAACCTGGGGCATTCGTATTGCGACGTTAGAGGTGAAATTCTTGGATCGTCGCAAGACGAACATCAACGAAAGCATTTGCCAAAGGTGTTTTCATCAAAGTTCGAAGGCGATTAGATACCGCCCTAGTTCTAACCGTAAATATGTCATCTAGCGATCTTAATATTAGAGGTAGCATTCGGCGTTCTACATCTCCGTAACCCCTTAGTGCCTGAAACGTAGCACTTGATGAAGGTATAGGTATGCAACCATCAGGATCTTTAAGTCTGGGACCAATGCTCTCGTCATCAAATTTTATATAAACTGCTTCTGGTAGCTCTCCATCCTCCAATTGATCTCTTCTCAATGCCGGCCATTTGATTCTTTTTATGATACCCATAGCTCCGTTCACTAGACCTTCAGATACGGCAATGTTGCGTCTCAACATAACTCGGGAATTGACGCCAATTTTAATCGATGACAGAAGACCACCACAGTTATTAACATCTTTAGATATTACGTTCTCCGGTGGTTTCTTACCATATGTCGCTACTTCACGGTACTCATCCACTGCATCGATTTTATATGATCGGTGAAGTATTGCATTCTCCTTGCTCGTTTTTTCGTTGTAATCGTCAACTTGCTTAACTGTGGGAAAAATACGGATAGCAACTCCATCCGCAAATTCACCAATTAAAGGTACGTGGCGTCGCTCGCATAATAATTCGAGTTGAGCCGTTGTTAATTCACCCACTCTCAAGCTATTTAATAAATAGATAAATTCGCTATCGTTGCGCTGCCGCATGTTCAGAGTCAGTTCACAAAAGGAAAACTGATGCCACAAATTGACCTCTGCTAAAAGCCACGAAGGCTGTATGAAACACCAATTCCCTTTTACCGACGGTAGCTGAAAAATGTCACCAATTAACAAAATGTTGTCTCCACTAAATAATTTGTCGTTGTTTTTATATTCCTGAAGCCTTAGATAAATTATCCTTAGGTTCTCATATGAAACCATTGAAATTTCATCAATAATTAGCCAATTTATGTGCCTCCATTTACGCCTTTCATTCTCCAGACGTTGACCTGTAACTTTTTTGTATGTCATAATATTTTTTTTTCAATTGGAAGCAAAAAAATCGAATGCAACGTTTTACCAAATATTTGGCGAGCGGCAACCCCAGTTAACGAGCCAACTTCTACAAATTTTGGCTTCAGTAATATGTCTACTGTAGGCGCGTAACAACGCTTTAGATGCTCCACAATTAATCTCAGCAGAAATGTTTTACCACTCCCTGCTCCGCCCGTGATAAAAAGTAACAACTGGTTCTCTAATCCTTGTAAATCGTTTTCGATTGTCGCCGAGATTTGTTGAAATAGATCTCTTTGTTGGATGTTTAAACCTCGAATGTTTCTAAGAAACAACTCATCGGACATGTCGGCACGTTCTTCCATATCTTCACAAAAGTTATCGTCTTCATGTATTATTTGTTCACCCACACATATAGGTGCATTGCCGACATCGGTATCACGGGCAGCGTTAAGCGCGGTAGCTTGTGCAACGGCTTGTTGTATAATTAGCTCAGTATGACCAAATTGTTCTGCACTGATATTATCCTGCAAAGGGCGAAGATCTCTTTGGCGTCTAATAAAACACACTTCAGCGGCTTCATTTTCTAAAAGTAATTCACGTTCGTTACGAAATGGTATATGGCAGACTATTAAACTATAATAATATGCGTCCTTATCACTATTAATTGTATAATAGCGGGTACGTAATACCGCCGGTCTGTTTCTTACACGCATTCGTGTATTGTCTTGCAGTCTGATATACCTCACTGGCGTAATATCTTCGTCTCTTAGTTCTGCATCACCATTATCTTCTGACCATGTCGTATTAGAGATTGTTTCAAACCGGACAGCAAATTCCGCAAGGCTTAAATTTTCGAGTTCATGTGGTCGTGAAACGTAACGATCAAAGATGTTATTATAAATACTAGTCTCATCGCTGTCAAATCTGAGGAGTCTGAAACGTTGCTCGGGTCTGCAACTATTGACAAAAACTGTCTTTCGCGACGACATTTTTAAGGGCAAATGGCATAATCTATATGCGCATTCTGGTGCACTCACCAAGCGTTGATTTAAAATGGCCATGGAGACGGTAAATAATTGTTTCCAAACATCGCCACCTTGCCTCTTAGCATTTATGATTGCTTCTCGAATTACGTCACCTGAGTCATGTGGTTCGGATTTACTGGCATATTTCGCGATGTAGTAGGCCACAGACGTGACGTTGCCACACGGTTGCACGTCAATATTTCCCTTCCATAATCTTAAAAGTATGTCATTGTAATTATTTACCATGGCCTTATTTGCGTTCCTCTTCAACAAGCAGAATCGTTCATTGTTAGCAAGTGCTTCATCCGGTCCGAGGCAAACGGTTTCTTTACTCCCAGAAGATAAACTTCGTAGCCTAGATAATTCGGTGAATGGCCCTTCATGTGGTTTATTTAATAATTTGTTAGCATCCAAGTCCGATAAAACTATTCCTTCTCAAGTTTTTTGCCCTTTTCCAAAATGTTTTCGCCAAGTTCGATTACAGCTCTATCAAGGGTGGTACCTTGCAGTTTTTGGACTGTAACGACCAATCTTAATATTAGAAGTAGCATTCAACACTCTACATCTCCGTAACCCCTTAGTTCCTGAAGCATCTGATGGTGGTATATGAATGCAACCGTCACAGTCTTTAAGTCTAGGACCAACTCGCTCGTCGTCAAATTTTATATAACCTGCTACTGGTAGCTCTCCGTCCTCCAGTTGATCTCTCCTCAAAGCCGGCCATTTGATTTTTTTATGATACCTATAGCTCCACTATCACTAGCTCTTTAGATACGCAATGTTGCGTCTCAACATAACTTGGAAATCGACGCCAATTTTAATCGATGCCAGAAGACTTCCTCAGTTATTAACATCTTTGGATAGTACGTTCTCCGGTGATTTTTTCCATATATCGCTATTTCACGGGATTCATCCATTGCATTGATTTTATATGATCGGTGAAGTTTTGCATTTCCCTTGCTCGTTTTGTTGTTGTAATCGTCAACTTGCCTAACATTGTTACGTATTTTTGCATTTGCGGTGGGCCTGTAGGTTTCAAAATATTTTACTATCTTCTAAACTATTGCTCAGAATTATATCAATACTAATATTATAAAGATGAAAGATTTGTATTTTTATATGTTTTGAAATAACTCAAAGTACTGATTACTTTGAGTTAATAACTTAAAGATACTGATAAAAAAAGAATTGTCAAAATCGGTCCACTAGCGGCGGAGTTATGCCGTAACACACATAAAAAAATCGACGAATTGAGTACCTCCTTCTTTTGGGAAGTCGGTCAAAAAGAAAAGGTTCAAAGAGGTTATTCAGAGCAATGGGTGGCAAATTGTGATAACACAGATATCGTTACCGTTATGTGGTACGATAGCAAACCAGTTATTTTATCGTCATCTTTTGTGGGTCAAGAGCCAATAGAATCAGCAAGAAGGTACTGCAAGAAACAAAAAAGTATATACAAGTATATTGTCCTCAAATAATTAAAAAGTATAACCAGCACATGGGTGGTGTGTACCTCCTAAATTCATACCTAGGGAAATATAAAATAAAAATTAGGACCAGAAAATGGTACCTCAGACTATTTTACCATCTTCTTGATGTTACTCTTATCAATAGCTGGTTATTGTACAGAAGAGTTGTGGAGCACCAGCGTACACTAACGCCAATGAAACAGAAAGACTTCAAATTTAATGTAGGAAAAAGTTTATGCATATTTGGGCCATCTATAAACAAAAAGAGAGGTAGACCAAGTTTATCTGATGAAATAGATATAAGAAGAAAGAAGCCTAACAAAGCAGTCCTGCCTCCTCGTGATGTCAGAAGTGACGGTTACGAACACTTTCCTGTTTGGGGTGAAAAATGGCAAAGATGCAAATATCCACAATTGCAGAGGAAAAACGTTCATATCCTGCGAAAAATGTCCAGTTGAACTGTGTCTAAATAAAGATAATAATTGTTTGAGGAATTTCCATCGCTAGGTATTTTATTACTTACTTACTTACTGTGTTGGCGCAGCGATCCGAAGTGGGTCTTGGCCTAATAATCATGTTTTTTATTTTGTTTAAAATTATAACTCGAATTCAAATTATCCAAAGAGGAAATATTTCCTAACGATTGGTCTAGTTTATTACCAAAAAGTTTAAGGCTCAGTATACCATATATGGAACGGAAATGAAAACTTGATTTACTTGTAAATTATTGGATTTTTATTTTTTTTATTATTTTTCCCTAACTACTAATCAC